AACTTATTTCCATTGGGGTCCTTAATCTTGTCCCCCAGGATGCGACCCACACCAGTCGACTAACACCCAGGTACCTATTTGCTGCTAGGTGAACAGGACAATAGGTGTAAGGAAACGTGTCGGAATTTCCACCCGCCGGGAATCAAACCCGGGCCCTCCGTGTGTGAAGCGGGAGCTTTAGCCACCAGACCACCGGGCCACCGAGGTCTCTTATATGGGTGTTAAGCTTGGGTTGTAAATGCTGCAACGAGGAGGTGGTTGAAGGCAGTGGAGATGTCTTGTCTAAGGGCAATGTGTAGTGTAAATATTATGCAGAAAATTCAGAGTGTGGAAATTAGGAGGTGTGGAGTTAATAAAAGTATTAGTCAGAGGGCTGAAGAGGGGTTGTTGAAGTGGTTTGGTCATTTAGAGAGAACGGATCAAAGTAGAATGACATGGAGAGTGTATAAATCTGTAAGGGAAGGAAGGCAGGGTAGGGGTCATCCTCGAAAAGGTTGGAGGCAGGGGGTAAAGGAGGTTTTGTGGGTGAGGGGCTTTGACTTCCAGCAAGTGTGCATGAGCATGTTAGATAGGAGTGAGTGGAGATGAATGGTTTTTGGGATCTGACGAGCTGTTGGAGTGTGAGCAGTGCAATATTTAGTGAAGGGATTCAGGGAAACCGGTTATTTTTATATAGCCAGACTTGAGTACTGGAAATGGGAAGCACAATGCCTGCACTTTAAAGGAGGAGTTTGGGATATTGGCAGTTTGGAGGGATATGTTATATATCTTTATATATTCTTCTAAACTGTTGCATCTGGGCGCCTCTGCAAAAACAGTGATTATGTACGAGTGAGGTGAAAGTGTTGAATGATGATGAAAGTATATTCTTTTTGGGGATTTTCTTTCTTTTTGGGTCACCCTGCCTCAGTGGGAGATGGCCGACTTGTTGAAAAAAAAAATCAATAAATTGGCTGTATCCCACCATGGAAGGGTGATCTAAGAAGAAAATCAAAAGTTTTTCTTAACCCATAAACTGTCCAAACATAGATCTAGGTTTTTTTCGACATTTTAAAGTATGTAAAAAAGTAATCTTTTTTTTTTTTACATTTGAAAACGTGTAAAAAACTTTGATCTATTTTTTTTTTTTATATATTTGAAAATATGTAAAAAAAAAACGTAGATCTATTTTTGGAGCACTATGCATGTGAACGTAGATCTGCTTGGCCAGTTTAAGGGTTAAAAATAAAAAAAAAATTCTTTTTAAATTTAGTAATTTATACAGGAGAAAGGGTTACTAGCCCCTTGCTCCTGGCATTTTAGTTGTCTCTTACATCACGCATGGCTTACAGAGGAAGATTTCTTTTCCACTTTTCCATGGACCATATAGTATATATATAATTTATATACAGTATATATATAGTATACAGTGGACCCCCAGTTATCGGCCGTAATCCGTTCCAGAAGGTCGGCCAATAACCAAAATGGCTGATAACCGAATTAATATTTCCCATAAGAATTAATGGAAATACAATTAATCCATTCCAAACAAAAATATTCACAAAAAAAAAAAAAAAATTTTAACAATTATGTAAGTATTACATACCTTTATTGAAGGCTAATGCTGGCTTCTGGAAGATAGGGAGGAGGAAAGAGGGAGGAGTTAGTGTTTGGAAGGGGAATCCCCCTCCATAAAGACTTTAGGTAGCAAAGCCTTCTCTGGGGTTACTTCCCTTCTCTGTCTTTTATTGCCACTAGGACTAGATTGAGAGTCACTGAACCCGTCTCACAAAATAACTGTCCAGAGTGCTCTGTTTCTGGCATCTCTAAGATTTCCCTGAAGTGGGACAGGGTTTTGTCACCAAACATGTTGCAGATATGGCTTGTTTCAGCTTTGTCAGGGTGGTGTTCCTCTACAAAAGCTTGCACCCTAGTCCACATTGCACACACCTCTTTAATCTCTGAAGAAGGCACCTCCTTCACTCCCTCTTCCTCCTCCTCTGGAGCAAGTTCCTCAGCTGCAGTCTGTTGCTGTTTGAGATGAAGTTTTTGCAGCTCTTCAGTGGTTAGCTCTTCCCTGTGGTCCTCCACCAACTCTTTCACATCCTCACCACTCACCTCCAACCCCAGGAACTTTCCCAGTGCCACAATAGAGTCCACAGGGTCGGCAGGGTCAGGGGTCAACCTCAAACCCTTCAAAATCCCTCTCTTGGACGCAATCTGGCCACAGTTTTCTCCAAGCAGAGTTCAAAGTCCTGGAAGTCACTCCCTCCCAAGCCTTACCTATAAGGCTTATGCAATGGAGGATAGTGAAATGATTCCTCCAGAACTGTCTTAGGGTCAACTGAGTGTCCAAGGTTACTTCAAAGCACTTTTGAAACACTGCTTTTGTGTAGAGTTTTTTGAAGTTAGAAATGACCTGCTGGTCCATGGGCTGGAGAAGAGGAGTGATGTTAGGAGGCAAGAACTTCACTGTGATGAAACTGAAGTCCCTAAACACTTGGTCTTGCAAGTCTTTAGGATGTGCAGGAGCATTGTCCAGTACCAGGAGGCACTTGAGTGGCAATTTCTTTTCCATGAGGTATTTTTTCACACTTTGGCCAAACGCATCATTAACCCACTCTTAGAAAATCTGCCTTGTGACCCATGCCTTATGATTAGCTCTCCACATCTCACACAATCTATTCTTCATGACACTGTTTTTCTTGAACACTCTGGATTTTCTGAGTGATACACAAGTAAAGGCTTCACTTTGAAATCCCCACTAGCATTACCACACAACAAAAGAGTAAACCTGTCTTTCATAGGCTTATGTCCTGGCAGTGTCTTTTCCTCCTGGGTAATGTAGGTCCTGTTTGGCATTTTCTTCCAAAACAGCCCTGTTTTATCACAACTGAACACTTGTTGGGGTTCGAATCCTTCAGCCTGGAATTCGTGAACATACTTTTCAGCTGCACATTTGTCAGAACTTGCAGCCTCACCATGCCTTACAACACTGTGTATGCCACTACGCTTCTTAAATCTATCAAACCATCCTTTGCTGGCCCTAAATTCACAAGCTGCAGCACTTGTTCAAGGCATTTTCTTTGCAAGATCCTCATGCAGCTGCTTTGCTTTCTCACAAATGATTGACTCCACAACACTCTCTCCCACTAATTCTTTTTCCTTAATCCACAATAATAACTTTTCCATCTCTTCCATTATTGGTGGCCTTTGTTTAGTTAGAAAAGTTACTCCTTTTGCAACATTAGCATCTTTGATTTGTTCTTTCTTTGCCAGGATGGATGTAATTGTTGATTTATTCTTGCTGTACATCCTGGCAAGTTCCACCACCTACATACCACTCTCAAACTTTTCTATCACTTCATGCTTAAATTCCATGGTGTATCTCACTTTCGTTACCACAGGAACTTTACTTGGAACTTTCTTTGGAGCCATCTTTACTTACTTCACAGTTGCACTGCAAGAAAAACCACTAAAAACAATGGTAAACAAGTGAAATGTTTGGATGTATGAGCAGAAGCTTCCTCAGCCACCAAGAGACAAAGCCAAACTGAAGCGGAAGCTGCCCCAGCCGGTGGATGGACGCGTCCAAAATGGCCGATAACCGAGTGAACAGCCAATAACCGGGCGCCAAAAAACCCGCTGATAACCGAGTTGGCCGATAACCAAACCAGCCGATAATTGGGGGTCCACTGTATATATATTTTACTGCATATGCTTTAGAAAGGGTAAAGGATGTGCAGACCAATTGTTTACAATGAAGCATATAAGTGAACAATATTTAGATAGAAGTAGAGAAGTTTTCATGCTTTCATGGATTTAGAAAAGGTATAACATAGGGTTGATATTGAAGTAGTGTGAAAGATGTTGCAAGTGTATTATGAGGATAATGAAGTTCAGGTTAGGGTATGTAAGAGAGAGGGAGATTACTGTCCAGTAAAAATAAGCCTTAGACAAGGATGCATGGTGTCACCATGGTTGTTTAATATGTTCATAGATGAGGCTGTAAAAGAAGTGGATGGTAGGGTATTAATATATGTGGACTCTAATACAAAATGAGAGTTGATACAGTTACTTTTTGCTGATGACACTGTGCTTTTGGGAGATTCTGAAGAGAAGTTGCAAAGGTTAGAGGATGAAATTGGGAAGAAGTGTAAAGAAAGGAAGTTGAAAGAAAACATAGATAAGAGCAAGGAGATGAGGGTAACAAACGAGTTAGGTAATGAAAGAGTGGATATCAGACTGGAGGGAGTGAATGTGTTCAGATATTTGGGAGTGGACTTATTGGTGGATGAGTATATGAATGATGAGGTATTTGTGGAGACAAAGAGCATTATCCATGGAGGCAAAGAGGGAAATGTATGAGAGTATAGTGGTACCAATACTCTTCTATGGGTGTGAAGCATGGGTTGTGAATGTTGCAGTGGAGGAGGTTGGAGGCAGTGGAGATGTCGTGTCTGAGGGTAGTGTGTGGTGTAAATATTATGCAAATAATTCATAGTTTGGAGAGTATTATCCAGAGGGCTGAGGAGGAGTTGTTAAGATGGCCTGGTCATTTAGAGAGGATGGAGAAAAAAAATAGGATGACTTGGAGGGTGTATAAATCTGTAGGTGAGGGAAAGAGGTGTAGGGGTCATATTAGGAAAGATTGGAGTGAAGGGGTAAAGGAGGTTTTGTGTGCAAGGGGCTTGGACATCCAGCAGGCATGTGTGAGCATTAGATATGAGTGAAGGCAAATGGTTTTTGGGACCTGATGAGCTGTTGGAGTGTGAGCAAGGTGACATTTTGTGAAGGGATTCAGACATCATTGTGTTTTGCATGTCAATCCTTGGAATTGGTTTCCATGATCTAAATCCATAATTTCAGTTGAAATGCAAAGGAGACAGCAGAAGTCATGGAGATGTAAATATGAGGTGAGATACAGATGAAATAAAGAAGAGAGAGCAGAATTTGTGGAATATGTAGATAAGAGGTGATCAGTCCTGCAGTGTCATAAAAGTCTAAATTATAAACACTAATCTTATTCTACTTGTATAATCATTTCTATTTATAAGTTACAGTAGTAATGTTATCTTTACAATATGTATTGTACAATATTTAAAACCTAAAAACAGATTGCATAAAAATATTGTATTGTTTACTGGGGAGTTAACAGCAATTAAAACAAAATGAATGCACTAAACATATTATTCTCTTAACTTCTGCACTCACAAGACTTCTTTACTTCTTTTCTCTCATTAGTGTTAGATTTTCAAAAAGTAAATAAAAAATTAAAATGCCAAAACTCAATGTTTATAAATTAGTCCAAAGAAAAGGTAACCAAAAACTGGCTTAAAAAAAAATGCTCAGAAATCTTAAAAAAAACACAGTACATATATCACTGCTCATGAATCTGTCCCACAAGTTTATCAAGGCTTTTCTTTTTTACTTTAGTATTTGCAATTTCCGTTTTTTAATCTTTTCTTTTGTCTCCAATCTCCACTCCTCTAAACTGATGGTTTCTTTTTCGGCACAAAACCAATAACCAGAATATTGGGTGTGAAGCAAGGATGTCCGTGCCTTGCCACATTTCCTACAGGTTAAGGGTTCAGTTACCCTACGGTTATAAGAACGGATTATTTTACTTTCCATCATCAACCCATGTTTCTTTTTTTTGCACAATAGTGATGTCTTAGACAATCGATCACAGGTACTGGAGTCATTGCTGACCTCCTGACTACTGGCTGGTTCAAAAGTAGGTGATTCTGACAATTTTGGAAGCAAACGTCTTTTGACAGCAGGAGGTTTCCTTGCAGTGTTCGATGGCTTGACAACTTCATTAATATTAAGAAGAGAAATGTTGGAATTAGAAGGCCATTCTGAAAGATTTGGAAGCAGATATCTGCTGACTGTAGTGGACTGTTCAGCAGTGTTCAAGGGTAAGACAAATGTATGTAGTTGCTCAGTAGGAATTGTTTGAACTTCTGATATAGGTCTACAAGCTTCTACCCCTGAATGTTGGAGAGTGATTTCCTGAAAATAATTAAAAGAAAGGATATTAGAAGCATAGCTTTTACTCTGTAACTAGAATATTGTATTGTGAATATAAAAATGCATTTCTGCATAGGGCCCCATGAAGCTTAACCTAGAACATGTCTCATACAAACCCCTACTTACCTCTCTGGAAAAAAAATTAATTCAAGCTACTTAAAATTTAAAATGCTTACAATCCACTATTTAATAACACAGGAGATTTTAAAAGGATCAGTGAGGAACTACACAATATACTTGGGAGAGATGTTATTTAAAAACAAATATGAAAACCCAAAAAATCATTAAAATGAGGACTCTCAGTTAATAAATACAGAAATAGACTGATCAGCCATTTAAGGCAGGAATGTCAAATAGACAAGAAAACAAAGAGGACCTGACAAGATAGCACTATGGGTTTATCCTTGAAGAATATGCAGATGAATTAAGTTATCCTCTCTGGAAAAATCTTTTCCACAAGAAGGTAAATTGGAAGACAAATGTAAAAATGGCATGCACTGTGCCAGTGTTTAAAAATAAGGTGACAAGGAGGATCCCCTAAACAATAGGCCTGTTTCACTGACTAACATTGTAAAATTACTGAAAAAGGTCATTAGAGCAGAGTGAATAAAACACTTGGAAAGGAAAACTACAACTGCAAAAAAATTTAATTTTTGATGAGCAAGTTCCTGTATATCAAATCTATTAACCTACTATGAGTCTATGACAGTCATAGAAATTATTCAGGTACAAAATAGATGGGCAACTACATATATTTAAATTATTTAAATTTATATAAATGACTTTAAATTTATATAAATTACCTGCCAGAAGGAATAAAAAATTACATGAAAATTGGCATGCCTCTGACAAAGACAGTGATCGACCATTTGCCATCCTGCCTTGGTAAGAAATGGCCGATGTATTAAAAAAAAAAAGTCTGAAGACAATGCAAAGATCTACACTGAAAGTAAGGTTTCTGGAGAAGAGGGCAGTTAAAGTGATTGCATCAGGGCACTGAAGGAAATACCTAAGTGAGATACACATACTCTCTGGTACATAGGACAGTCAATTCATTTAGGTTGTATTATCAACAGAACCTCAAATTCATCATAGATGCACACCAGGCATTTCTCCATGAGGTATCCATGTGTAAATGCTTTGTGTGTCCAATGCCTAATCAAGAATAAGGTTTCCCGCACTCAGCAGCAATGGAGGGAAGATGGGCAATAATATGACTGATTAGATGGAATAGCTTATTAGTTACTGGTTAAGACAAAGGCACAAAAACAGTAATAGATAATTGTCTGAAATCAGGACCCCAGTACTATGATAGGTATTTAACTGTGGCCTAATTCATAAATAATTCCCACCCTTTAGAGACAACTTTTGATGGCATTTTGATCCATCCTGAACCAATATTTAGTCATGACAGAGAGAAAAGGTGAGAAAACAATAAGGCAGGGCAGATGAAGAGGTAAGAACAAAGGCCAAAGATATATTAGGTGATTTTCTTCACCTGTACAGAGATCATGGATGAGATGACCTTGCACATGCTGAAATTTTGCCAATCTTGTAATGAAGGTTCTTCACTCAGATGTTTAATGCCAACATGGTGTAGGAGCCACAACCTAAGCACAGAAATTGTTGGACAATCATCAACCATGAAATGAGAAATCGATTGCAGAGGAGGATAAGTGGGAAAAGCACCTAAGGTGCACTTAGTACTGTTAAGAGAAGACATGTTTGCTTTAATGAAGAAGAACACATCTAAGGATGTCAACACCCCCAAGGCATCAAGAACACCGTTGACACTTTGCAAGATCCCACTGTCATTCACTGTAAATTTAGCTAAACACAATGAACATGGTAAATTGTCAGAGTATAGTCTATGTGCCAAGAAGAATGAGTGTAGATCACTATCCTCCAAGAGAAGGGGGCAAGCTGGAAGCTGAATAAATGAACCAGGTTTGCCAAAGCCATTATCAAGCTAAAAAAAAAAAAAAAAAAAAAAAGGGCAGCCAAATATTGAGGTTCTGAGCTTAAGTCTGCCTGTACATAGAAGATATAAAACAGATTATCTGAACACAGAATACTGCTAAGTGTTTTGATGTGAACAGACTTCTCGTATTTTGGCACAAATAATAATGTTATTACATTCTTTAACTGGAATGGCACAGTTGGAAAATTAATCTAAATACTGTACTTTAAAACTATAATGTTATCTAGGAAAAGGAATTGAAAACTGTTTTAGATTTTTAATAATTATGTAATTTCATGTGAATACAAACAATTATGTTATATGTAAGACCACTCCAAAAAGAGTACTTATATTCATCTGTAGAGTATAATAGTACTAAGATTCCTAGACAGGGTAGCAAGTAATTATGCACAGGGTTGTGCAAGAATTTCAGCCCTAGACTGAGCCATTCATTTTGCCAAAAAGTGCTTTTGTGTCAAACGAGCAAAAAGTAAGTCAATATTAATGAAACAGTGTTAAAATGTTGTCTGTTATGCTTGACTAAAAGTCAGTTGTGTAGAATCAGGTGTGGTCAGCTCACTTACAAAGTTCCTCTATATATTGTGATTTTGTAATGCAACAGAAAAAGTAGAGTAAAACCTCTCATCAAAAGACCTCTCAATAATGGATTTTGGCAATTTTTGAAAAAAAAAAAAAAATTAGCGAACAAATATTGGCAATACTGGACAAAATGGACAAAGGCCAATAATTTCTGGTTTTAGTCCATAGCGATAGTGTCTGGTTGTCTTCTGAAGTATCGAACGAAGTCCAATGTCTTCAACATCTGTCCAGTACAAGCCAGAGCAGCCACATCCAGGACCTGTCTGTTTTCATTGTTCCCTGAGCCATAGGCCACCTATGTAAGCTTACTGTTTGCGCTCACTCACACACAAATAATAAGCTGAGTAACCACTATTGATCATGGCAGTTTACATCTCATCTCTCAACCAAGAAAAGGTAAATAAAATTACTATAAATTAAATAGTTCTATAAAATTACTATACTGTGGTACTCCACATTACAATACCTATATTCTTAGTGTCCAGTTGTCTTTTTTATCAACAGAAAAGCTCACTAGTTTGGAAGACAAATGGACAATCATGAAAAATTTATTTCATAATTGGGACAGCCAGCAACATTACACACCCCCTCCTCCATTGAACGGTTCATACTATGAAGGCCCTGCCATGCTCTCTTCAATTTTGGAAGAACTTTTTCAATTGCATTTACCAAAATATGCACTATACAGAGGAGCTCTATATAACAGATAGTTGTTGAAGTGCCAATGGAGAGAACAACTGCAATTCACATATAATATAGGAAAATAGCAGGTTCACTGTAATAAAAGTGGAATACATACACCTTGCATTCCTGAGTGTCCCATTAAAGCCATTACAACAGCACCTGGCAGTGGCTGTGTTTTGTCTTGTGATGAAGTGATTTCTGGTTCAAGTTTTTTGGATAACATTCGGTTTGAGGGAGCGTCTGTACTTCTTATAGACCCATAGTCCATCGTCGAGTTCACATTATCGCTTTTACTGTTGTCTACATAATCGACTATTTCTTCTTTGACTTCAATTTCATCTACTGTTACCTTGAAAAGAAATAAAAAATCAACTTAAACCAAGCCAAGTCAAATTCTACATTAAGTGCATCCTGTAGTTTCTAAGAAATAAATATGAAAATTCCAGCTAAGTTAATAAGTTCAAAATATCATAAAAATAAATTACAATTTCACAAACCTCATCTTTGGGAGGAGTTAGTGAGAAGTTGATAGCTGTGTGGTCAGCCCGTCTGTCTTCTAGTGGATAGGCTAGAGTTTGCTTCTCTTTAGTGATAGTAGTATGGTTACCCAGTGGACTGGATAGGGTTTGCTTCTTGTGGATGATAGCTCTGTAGTCACCCACTGGGTGGGATAACATTTCCTTCTTATGAGTGATAACTGTAAAGTCACCCACTGAGTGGGCTACTGTTTGCTCTTTGTGAGTGTTAGTTGTATAAACATCCGAAGGGTGGGCTACTGTTTGTTCCTTTCTTTCTGAAGACACTAGATTCATCCACTGACTATCAGTGTGTGTTTTTAATGTAGACTGCTGGCTCTCACAGTCACTAAGTAATGGAGATACAACAGGGAAGGTTGGAAGTGCAGTTGAGGTTTCTATTCCTTGCAAAGATGTGTTGCTCTCTTCATGTTTTCGTTTCAAATGTGGACTACTTTGACTGTCCAAGGCACTTTGTGATTGAGCTGCTCGTTTAATATATATTTCTGATACGGAAGCTTCATCAGGAGCAGGTAGTCCTTTTATGCTCAACATGTCTGCTGCTTTAATTAACCGTGTTAAACCTTCCTTAGCTACACTCACACTTCCTTCATACATGTAGCTTAAGAGAGCTTCTAGTTCATCAGTTTGTATATCTTTCAACACAATAACTGGGTGTTTACATGGGGTGTTTTCAAACATTTTCTCAAAATATTCACTACTTGCTGATAATACTAACTTGTGTACTTTATAGAACTTCCCATCACATGCTACAGTCACATCTGCGTATCTCTCCTGCACATTGGAAAAAGCATTAATAAGTATTTGATCAATATTTTTTGACATTTTTTACAATAATAATCATCCTTAGTTCTACAAGTCCTAGGTAGTAGGTTGGTAGACAGCAACCGCCCAGGGAGGTACTACCGTCCTGCCAAGTGAGTGTAAAGCGAAAGCCTGCAATTGTTTCACATGATGGTAGGATTGCTGGTGTCCTTTTTTCTGTCTCATGAACATGCAAGATTTCAGGTACGTCTTGCTACTTCTACTTACACTTAGGTCACACTGCACATATTTACACACCCCTCTGAGTTTTCTCCTATTTTCTTTCTAGTTCTTATTCTTGTTTATTTCCTCTTATCTCCATGGGGAAGTGGAACAGAATTCTTCCTCTGTAAGCCATGCGCGTCCTACGAGGCGACTAAAATGCTGGGAGCAAGGGGCTAGTAACCTCTTCTCCTGTATATATTACTAAATGTAAAAGGAGGAACTTTCATTTTTCCTTTTGGGCCACCCCACCTCGGTGGGATACGGCCGGTGTGTTGAAAGAAGAAGAGTTCTACATGTACATGATACAACTTATACAGACTTAGCTGTCATCAATGACATACTACATAGAAAGCCCTTGATTAAGAAGAGCATTTCAAATAAATTATGTTAATTTTGTCCTCAGCATGTGGCCCACATTATTTGGCTAACACCCAAGTACCTAATTTGCTGCTAGGTGAACAGGGACATCAGGTGTCTTAAGTAAACCTAACCAATGTTTCCACCCTTACCAGGGACTGAATGACAGACACTCAAGAGTGTGAACTGAGTGTGCTTCCAACCAAGTTACAAGACACTCTAAAAGGTTAGATCATTTATCCAGTAATTAAACAAAGAAGTATACACATACAGTAGACCATCATTTAACAGACTAACAGATCTTACAAAACTAAAAGTGAATATGTAATTGTAGTTCATTGTCGTGATGTATTATGTTGTTTTTACTGCTTAAGATTACAAATGCAACAGAAATAACAGTATTTCTTAACTTAAATTATGGGTGCTGGTGTTTGTGGATGATTGTGGAGAGTGGAGAGTTATGCTGTGGTGGATGGTACAGGTTCTGGTACTGAAGTCGATGGTTGTACGGGAGTGTGCATAAATCAGTCAAAGTCAAGTCAGTCAAAGTCAAGTCAGTCAAAGTCAAGTCAGTCAAAGTCAAGTCAGTCAAAGTCAAGTCAGTCAAAGTCAAGTCAGTCAAAGTCAAGTCAGTCAAAGTCAAGTCAGTCAAAGTCAAGTCAGTCAAAGTCAAGTCAGTCAAAGTCAAGTCAGTCAAAGTCAAGTCAGTCAAAGTCAAGTCAGTCAAAGTCAAGTCAGTCAAAGTCAAGTCAGTCAAAGTCAAGTCAGTCAAAGTCAAGTCAGTCAAAGTCAAGTCCAAGTCAAAGTCAAAGTCAAGTCAGTCAAAGTCAGTCAGTCAAAGTCAAGTCAGTCAAAGTCAAGTCAGTCAAAGTCAAGTCAGTCAAGTCAATAGTCAAAGTCAGTCAGTCAAAGAGTCAGTCAAAGTCAAGTCAAGTCAGTCAAGTCAAGTCAGTCAAGTCAAGTCAGTCAAGTCAGTAAGTCAATCAGTCAGTAAGTCAGTTAGACAAATAAGTCAGTAAGTCAGTCTGTAAGTCAGTCAGTAAATCAGTCAGTCAGTCATCACACAAACTCATATTTACTCATATTTACCTAGCAGAGGATGGTCCTACACACGAATGAACCCAAGGCTGGGACAAGGGTGATGGGAGTGGTAGAGGGTGGTGGTTGTGGCAAAGGGCGGCTGGGGTGGCGGGGGATGGTGATAGGTATTCCCTGTTGACTCTATGGTCTAACCCACAGCCAGGCAGTGTGTATCCCACAGGCGATGCTCCAAATTTTTTCCCCTCCCACAAACTGAACCGTGTAAAGTTAATTTTACGAAGTGCTATACAAAAATATGCTGCAATTCTTCAATATTGCTATAATCAAAACGTGCCAAACAAAACAGTGTTAAACGACAGTCTTCTGTAGTATATACAGTACATTCTAAACCAAGCTAAATATTAATCTAGTTACTTTTATCATGACACCCTGGAAAGGAAAAGGAATACAAAATAATTAGGAATGTAATAGAAGTGATAAATGAACTACAAGATATAAAACATGAGAAATGTGCAATAATAAATTAAAGGATGTGGTAAGATCTCAAACGATTGTTTCTTCGATAAGAAGAATGTAACCTTTACATTTGTTAAAAATATTTGAATTATGAATTTATGCTATCAAGCATCCTTTTATCCTTACAGAGTCTAGATACTCTGCTTACTCATTTTTGTTATTTCTTTGAGAGGCTGAATAGTTGACTTGTTGACCGAGCTATGGTTTGCAATGTCTTGTTTGTGATTTTACTTAAATAGTGAGTCTGGCTATGTCCCTTACTCTCTTTTCAGTTCATTTGATAACCTATTACTCCTATTATAGGTGTGACAATAGAGTTAATAGATTAAAACTACATGGTCTACTACTGCAAACCAGTAGGAAACTGCAGCCCTAACCTGTTCCTGTGTTTTCATCAAGCTGCCTAGAATGGACCAGGAGGCCTCTCGCAATTCTCCATTTTTGTTATGATTGAACTTAAATTTGGGGAGTCACCTCACCATTAACCTATAAAATGTGCTTTCCTTCATTCTTCTTTCTAACCCCTTTGAAAATGTGTGTGTAAGCACTCAGAAATTCTGGTGTATTTTTTCATATCCAGTGGAACCTCAACATTCGTATATCCCTATATTCACACAACTTGATATTCACCCAGCTTTTTTGAGAAAAATTTGACTCGGTATTCAGAAAATTTGGTGGATGACTAGAGCTTCATTAAAATGAAGTTCTTACCCCCCTAACACCACTCCTCTTATCCAACCCACTGACCAGCAAGTAATTTCCAATTTTAAGAAACTTTACACAAAAGCACTGTTTAAAAGGTGCTTTCAAGTGGCCTCTGAAACACACCTTACCCTTACAGAATTTTTGAAAACCATTTTAATATCCTCCAGTGTTTAAGGATAACAGACAAAGCCTGAAGGAAAGTTTCTTTCAGGACAATGAACCCTGCCTGGAAGAAATTTTGGCCAGACTGTGTGTCACTCAGAGATTTTGAAGGCCTTGAGGCAGAGCCTGTAGTGAGGATATTGTTTCTCTGGGCCAGTCCATGGGTTTGGAAATGGACAATGAGGATGCAGAGGAGTTGGTGGAGAATCAGAAGAATGAGATCACCACAGAAGAACTTCAAGACCCACACAAGGAGTAGCAAGAAGTGGTTGAGGAAATTTCTTCTTCAGAGGAGGGAAGCAGTAAGGGCAACATGTCTACTGCAGAAATTAAGGAATTTTATTACCATTGGACTCAAACACAGCCTGGTGGAAAAATGGCATCCTAACATTACTGTTGTGAATAGAAGCATCAACCTGTTCAATGACAATATTGTTGACTGCTTTAGAAAATTTTGAAAAGTCATCAAGAGTAGACAACAATGGACAGCTTCTTTAGCAAGGAAAAAATCTAATGCTAGTGAATCTCCATCATTTTCACATGCTACTGCACAGACACAGAAAAGAGAAAAAACACCAGACAGGCAGTTACCTGATGTTTTTATGGAAGGTGACAACCTTTCCAAACAATAACATCTCTCAACCTTTGTACAACTCACTATTCCAACAGCCTCCTGGAACGAATTAAGTTCAAATGCTATCAAGGTGCCATCATACCTGTATGTATACAGTGAATGATTCGCCAGTACTGTCCCAGCCCTATGTATACAGTGAAATTTCAGTTAACATAAGGTTACATTCCTGAAAACAGCATATAAAACATAATCATGTTAAGCAAACTGAAAACCATATACATGTAGTAATGCTTCTGTATAATACATGCATTTATCATCAATAAATTAATAATTTCTATGCTGGCTAGTATTATAATCATGGGCAGGAGCTGAACCTGAAGGGGTTATACAGCACCTGCAGAATGTGAAGTAATCAGGATTGACCCCAAGAAAGGGAAAGGTAGTTCCAATTCCTTGGATTAAGGCACCCCCATGAAGGGTAAAGTAGATATTTCTGCAATTGATTGTAAGTGGTATGATGATACCAACAAAATGTAGAAAAGAACACTTATACACAGTTCGGGATATTTATTAAAGGAAATATCCTGAACTGTACACAAATGTCCTTTTCCATACGTTTCTGCAATTACTTTTATTTTAAATATTTGTGCAAATTTAATTTTCTTGTTACAAATGCAGATGTTAATAACATTGCAGGAATAAGAGTAATTAAGATAATAAATAATCTTCAAAGAATTGTCAAACAAAAAAATTAAAATAAATAATTAGGGATTGTAGTAAATCATTTATTTTATATGGGGATTACTTCATGACTCATACAACAACCCTATTTCTTTGAAGCAATAATCGGAAATATCCTCATTTAAATAAATACTTGTACTAGTATACAAATATCAAGATAAAGCTCATTCTTTAGATCATTTTATCTTAAATCGAAAATTAGTAACATTCACTTATTTTAATATAATGATTCCAACAACAGAATAAAGATAAAAATATACAATGGTTTTTATAACTCGCCTTTTTCCTGAGTGTTGAGAGGAAGTGAAAGAATGTTGCTGTGTGATTATCCCATGATAATGATACCATTCCATCACTCATCTTCATATATTTCAATATTCTGTTAAGAAAAATTACAGTAAATAAATGACTTCAGAACCTTCTTATTACTGACATTTCAACCAGTGTTGAACAATTATGGGTTAACATGCAAACACAGGCTTACCCGAATCTCCCTGTAACTACCTAATATTCTGTAAGTACTGTATTGTAGGCTTCATAACTATACAGCAATTGACTTGAATTTGCCATTTTATTCATCTAAAATCCACACCAAGAAAAAGAAACCTTATAATGATATTTTGGCTTGTCATGGACCACTGTTCCAGCCAAAAGTTGTGGCTTCATAATGGTCTGAGACCAACTGAAACACCATAAGATTTCTCTCCTAAGTGCAAGTTTTTGGCAAATTTGCATTCTATGAATTTTGTGAACATCTTACGACATAAATTAAAATTCTGTGTCCATAATGATGTAAATAAGCAAGCTATTCTTGCAGAGGGACAACAAAACACCACAACCATATCAATAGTTCCTGTATGATACTAAGAAATCAAAAGCTATGTGGAATAGCCAACTTGACTTTAAAGTTTACTGACTGTATGTGAGACATCAAGCTGCAAGCCAAGTGAACACTTTTTGATAAGATTTATTAAGTTTAAATGTCGGTCATTTTGCACAGTATAGTGGTGCCTGAGTGATGATATTAATCCATTCCAGAAGATGTATTGTATCTCAAAACTATCATGACTCAAATTACAGATTACATGGTTTTATGGTAATTCGTTCCAAGACCTCGGAAGTGCAACTTTTACTGTACCTTGGATTTGAAGAGTTGGTGGGGTGGTGGTGAAAAGCCTCAGCAGCTTCCTTATCAGCATTGGAAGCCTCACTATGTCTCACAACACTTTTAATATTGGCCCTTTTCTTGAAACCCTCAAACCACCCTTTGCTAGCTTTAAAATCATCAAATGGAGTAGCATCAGTACTTGAGGGCGAATCTTGTTTTAATTCATCATAAATTTGTCTTGCACGTTCACAGATATAACTTGCAGGCACTGTATCTCCCTTCATCTGCTTCTCTCTTATCCACAGTAACAACAGTCTTTCCATCTCTATGATAATTTCTCTGCCTTTTTTCACTAGCTTAGATTCGTCAGCCACTTTAATATTCTTTATAATTTCTTTTTGCTTGATAATAGTAGAGATGGTTGATTGTGGAAAGCCATACTCATTCACCAATGCACTAATCCTTATTCCTTTATCATGCTTATTCACAATCTCTTGCTTGATCTTCAGAGATATTGCCTGTTTACTGCGCACTTTGGGGGGCATGATGACTTGATAACACAAAAAGGTGATGTAATTTAATCACAAATGTAGTTATGAATGGTAAATAATGCTGAGTTGGTGTGGGGGCAACACACATGCCAGCTTCAGACTGACACGGAAACAATAAACTGCAGTACAAACGCTGCTGCCGGCTGAGATGCTACCACAAAGACATTTGTTCCCACCGCTGACTGGCTGCTGAACCACCCCCCACACATCCTGTATTATAAATTCACACTAGGACTGCATTAAGAAAAAAGTTACTATTATAGGCATATTTTATAGAAAAAAATATTATGACAACCTAGAATGATTCATTAAAATCGAACACCGGAACTAATTTCCACTGAGGTCCCCATCATCAGTGATACTTTTATCCCTTATTCAGAGATCAAAATAAAAGAAAAAATTACAGTAATGTAATATATAATATTTTATACAGTGACCCATGGCCTGGTAGACAGAGTTCTTGCTTCACACGCTGAGTGTCCATAGTTCAGTCTGTGGCAAGGATAGAAACATTGGGCATGTGTCCTTACACCTGTTGTCCCCCCATTCACCGAGTAAACAAGTAGGTACCTGGGTGTTAGTCGACTGGTGTAGGTAACATCATGGGGGACAAGATTGAGGACCCCAGTGGAAATAAGACAGACAATCCCTCGATGACACACTGCCTTTCTTGGGTTATCGTGGGTGGCTAACCCTCCATGGTTAAAAATCTTAATAAAATCTTATTTCTTAACCCCCATATCTGTGGGTTCAGTTTCTGTGGTTTCAATTATCCATGGTTTACTGTGACCCAAAAATAACTCTTAATTTTATTTAATAATGGCCACAAAGCACAAAAGCAGTGATGGCAAATTTTTTAAAGCCTTAGAGAAGCGATGAAGTGCTTCCCATCAGTGAAAAAGTGCTAATTCTCGACTTATTGTGCATAATTTATCAATTAAACTTCATAGATACATATGTAAACAAAAACAATTTATATACAGCCTCTCCACACTTAACAATGGAGTTCAATTCTTAAGGCCATGTCAGTAACAAATTCATCACTAAACAAGGAACATACTATAATGGTAGTGGGTTTGTGTTAACTATCTTTGATATTGCTTTAATGTCACCTTTAGACCATTTATAACATTTTTAGTATACAGCCTCTCCTCACTTAACGGCGGAGTTCCGTTTCTGAGACCACGTCATTAAACAAATTCATTGCCAAGTGAGGAGCATACTATAATGGTAGTGAGTTGGTGTCAACAATCTCTGATATCGTTTTACTGTCACCTTTGCACCATTTATAACATTTCTGGTATATTTTTAAATGTTTATACAGTAGTGTACTGTATATTGAAATAAAGAGAACAGAGCAAATCAGCTCTAATATACATTATTTAGGTGTGAATACTGGTCAGAGCCCGTCGTAAGTCCGAGACAGTAAACGAGTATGTCGCTAAGTGAGGAGGGGCTGTATTTTTAAATGTTTATACAACAGTGTACTGGAATGTACCTGGAATATACCTGGAGAAGGTTTTGGGGGTCAATGCCCCCATGGCCCAGTCTGTGACCAGGCCTCATGGTGGATCAGGGCCTGATCAACTAGGCTGTTACTGCTGGCCACACACAAACCAACATATGAACCACAGCCCGGCTGATCAGGTTCTGACTTTAGGTGCCTGTCCAACGCCTTCTTGAAGATAGCCAGGGGTCTACTGGTAATCCCCCTTATGTATGCTAGGAAGCAGTTGAACAGTTTTGGGCTGTTGACACTTACTGTGTTGTCTCTTATCATGCTAGTCGCGCCCCTGCTTTTCATTGGGGGAACGTTGCATCGCTGATTGAGTCTTTTGCTTTCATATTATTATTATTGTTATAATCATGGGGGAGCACTAAACCCATAGGATTATACAGCACATGTGGGAGGGAGATAGAAGGTATTCAGGCTTAATTCAGGGAACTGGAGCACAGATCCAATTTCCTAGATCAAGAGCCCTTCACCCTTCAGGGGTTTGCTTTCATAGGGAGCGATTTTCGTGTGCAAATTTGGTACTATTCCCTCTAGGATTTTCTGTATGTATATTGTAATAAACAGAATAGAGGATATCAGCTCTAATATACATTATTTAGGTATGCGTACTGGTCAGAGAGCCCATTGTAAGTTCGAGTAATCAGTACGCCACTAAGTAAGGAGAGGCTGTATAGGGTTCGCTATTATCCGCAGTTTTGGGTATCCGTGGTAGGTCATGAAACATATCCGCAGAGGATACATTTCAAAACCTATTGTGTGGGCAGGACAGGGGCCATACACTAGTGTGTGGACAAGACAGGGCCATCCACTAGTGTGTGGACAAGACAGGGCCATACACTAGTGTGGACAAGACAGGGCCATACACTAGTGTGTGGACAAGACAGAACCATACACTAGTGTGTGGACAAGACAGGGCCATACACTAGTGTGTGGACAAGACAGGGCCATACACTAGTGTGTGGACAAGACAGAACCATACACTAGAGTGTGGACAAGACAGAACCATACACTAGTGTGTGGACAAGACAGGGCCATCCACTAGTGTGTGGACAAGACAGGGCCATCCACTAGTGTGTGGACAAGACAGGGCCATCCACTAGTGTGTGGACAAGACAGGGCCATCCACTAGTGTGTGGACAAGACAGGGCTATACACTAGTGTGTGGACAAGACAGGGCCATACATTAGTGTGTGGACAAGACAGGGCCATACACTAGTGTGTGGACAAGACAGGGCCATACATTAGTGTGTGGACAAGACAGGGCTATACACTAGTGTGTGGACAAGACAGGGCCATACACTAGTGTGTGGACAAGACAGGACCATACACTAGTGTGTGGACAAGACAGGACCATACACTAGTGTGTGGACAAGACATGGCCATACACTAGTGTGTGGACAAGACAGGGCCATACACTAGTGTGTGGACAAGACAGGACCATACACTAGTGTGTGGACAAGACAGGACCATACACTAGTGTGTGGACAAGACATGGCCATCCACTAGTGTGTGGACAAGACAGAACCATACACTAGTGTGTGGACAAGACAGGGCCATACACTAGTGTGTGGACAAGACATGGCCATCCACTAGTGTGTGGACAAGACAGGGCCATACACTAGTGTGTGGACAAGACGGGGCCATCCACTAGTGTGTGGACAAGACAGGGCCATCCACTAGTGTGTGGACAAGACAGGGCCATCCACTAGTGTGTGGACAAGACAGGGCCATCCACTAGTGTGTGGACAAGACAGGGCCATCCACTAGTGTGTGGACAAGACAGGGCCATCCACTAGTGTGTGGACAAGACAGGGCCATCCACTAGTGTGTGGACAAGACAGGGCCATCCACTAGTGTGTGGACAAGACAGAACCATACACTAGTGTGTGGACAAGACAGAACCATACACTAGTGTATGGACAAGACAGAACCATAGCAGCATATGTGTAGATTACCTACGATAACCCCAAAAATCAGGCCAAGTGACTTATTTCCACTGGGGTCCTTATATCTTATTACTGTATTTGTATATTTATGAATTGTAATATATGTAATGACTAATATTTCTTTCTAGTGATGTAATAATACCTAGTGAAGTCTGATAAAGACCCAGTGTGACCTGTGTAATCCTCCTGTTTGTTCTACCGCTCACAAGATGTGCTGAGGGTGTAAAATAAACTAGTTTATTCTGTCAACACAACTAACTTACAACTAACTTTTTGTTTGTGTGGATGTTAAGGGCCACGAAAATGAAAGCCTTATTGAGTCCTGTCTCCTGGGAGTCCGGGGAAAATTATTCCCAAATATGGAAGGGAATTAGAAAGGCAATAAACTTTCCTCCAGAAAGAGGAACAGGAAAATGAAATTTCCAGTTTAGATCAGGTGAACCTCAGGTCTAAGTAAGGTCCTGTCTCCACCAGCGCCAGCACTGAGGTCCCAAGTTACTAACACGGCCTTATTCTTATTGTTTCTGAGGTTGTTAAAGGCCACGCCAGCGTGAGATGTATTGAACACTAGCTCCCAGCTCTCGGGGATTAGGGTTTCTATACGACGAGAGGATAGTAGGAGACCTGGTAGCCCTGAAGGATAGGGAACAGGAGTCACGATGACCTTGATTACAGATGTTATAGGCAATAATTGAGAGAGATACATCTTTGTCTTATTGAGATATTAAGAGCTTTTAATGTCCAGGGTAATGTGGAACTCATCACTTCAGTATCTTCAGTGAAATATTTGGGAATTTCATTTGATCCAAACATGTCAGAATTAATAGTGAACAGTGTAGTAAAAATAGCGAATGTCAGGCTAAAGTTCCTCTATAGACAAGCACAGTGTCTACCTGGACTTATGTCCAGCAAAGGTTTCAATGTATAATTACAATTCTGATTTGTTAAGTACAAAAAAAGTCATTCAGATTATTATTGTTCTTCATGGTATTCTGCTTTAACAAAAATAAAACTGTGAAACTACAAATCACCCAGAACATAATAGTGAGATCCATCCTGGACCTGGATCCAAGAGAACACGTAGGCCAGGATGAATTACAACAGCTGGATATACTGAGTGTTGAAGACAGAGTAAAATAACTGTTTATAACTGGCCTCAACCACCTGTTATTATAAAGGAATAAATGAGTGAAATGGATTGCCTGAACATGTACTAGCATGAGACAGTTCAGGTAGAGGGCTGAAAGATACTTAACGAAAGAAATTACAGAAAGGGAGGAGAGTGATTTCTTGTATCGTTAACATTCGTGTACCTATTATTGTAAGCTGATGCTCTCTGTTTAATGTTCATGGATATAACTCAGTTCACTATATTCCTATTGCACCTTCTTTTACTGTAACTGATTTTCACACAGTTGAGTTACTTAGCTGTTTTAATTTTTAAAGTTATAACCGTGACTGATTTCTACTGTATCTTACAGCTAGGCTTTAAATAATAAGATATTACAAGGACCCCAAGGAAATAAGTCACTTTGTCTGACTTTATGGGTTATCCTGGAGGGTAATTTACACATATGTTACTCCAGGTAAATGTATGATAGTTGACGTCACCTAAAGTTGTGTAACTGTACCTATACAAACTTACTTACTAAAGGCCACTGACGGCTTAATAATAATAATAGTTATAATAGTAATTACAATAATTTTTATTTCTACAAGTACATATACAAGGTATACAGACCATAACTGACATCAATGACATACTATTATATAGAAAGCCCCTTGTTATGCTGAGCATTTCGGGCAGATTAGGTTAATTTTGTCCCAGGATGTGACGCACACCAGTCCACTAACACCCAGGTAAATATTTTACTGGACAGCAGGTGTCTTAAGAAAATACATCCTAATGTTTTCACCCGTACTAGGGATCGAGCCACGGACCTCAGTGTGTGAGCTGAGTGTGCTAGCAATCGAGATTACTCCATATCGAGCCCTCTCTGATGTACGGGGAAGAAGTAATGCTCAAAGTTTGGAGATAAAAGGAAAGAAAACAGGCGTTTCTTTGCAAATATAAACAGAAACTAAAAGTTACCAATAAGGCCAGTTGGACTCTCTTGACTATGCCCCATCAGAGCGGGACACCTACACCCCTCACCTAAGTTCAGTAACCGGCGGAAAAATGGAACTGATGAATGATGAACCGGCTGCCTTTAGAGTGCCCAGCAGGAAGATTAAAATGAGGACAACTGTGTCAGAGAGAGAGAATGAGGAAAAACTTGTCACCGATGCTCAGGCAAGAGCGAGACGTCCGCACACCACCCAGGGTGGCGCAGTCGTCCAGAAATGCTCTGCATAACAAGGGGCTATCTGTATAGTAGTGTCATTCATGTCAGCGAGGCCTGTATACCTTGTACATGTACTTGCAGAAATAAAGATATTACTATTATAAACTACTCTCCCTGCTTTCTTCTACCACTACTACTTCCACTACCAGCCTCTCTTGGTCCCGTCCTTGTCCCCCTCGCCTATATATACTGGCTCCTTCACTCTTTTGTAGACGCCAGGTGCTCAACACACCTCCAGAGAATCAACTGAGTCACCCTGACACTCTGGCTACCACCCGAGTGTCACGTATGGTTTAAGTGGAGCAAAGCTTTTGTATGTTGAAAGATTCATACCAGCGAGAACACCGGCCCTGACACCACTTGAACCGAAGAAGACTCACCATGCCCTTGCCATAAGGCTGCCCCCGGTATAGGGCTGTACGGGATTCCACGTGACCTAAAGAAGACTCACCACACCTTTGTCATAGGGCTGCCCCACCGTAAAGCTGTAAACGGTACTATACTTAACACGAATGTTCACCGTGTCCCTGCCATAGGGCTGTAAACGGTACATAACTTGTACAAACTCAGTCACTCCTTCGGGAGCCACTGCCGGGGCACCACTTGGAGAAGACCTGGGCCAAGACCCGTCCTGGCAAACCTACATGAACTCTCTTGTGTCAGTGTGACTTTGTAAATGGTCCAAATCGGATCGAAACGTCGTCGTAACCTTCTCTCTCCTACGTGCGGGTTATTTGTGTATTGTTCCAGTCACGGTATTGTGCCTTTTTCTTTATGTACAGTTGCTTGCTAATAAGAATTTCAAAGACAACTGCCTCTTCTGGACAAATATAATAAGCTCCTTTCAAAGCGGGGATCAGTACCCCACCTTCCTGGTAACCAACATATGTAAACTACCGCTGGAAACTAGTAAGATCTCATTCCATCTCCATCATGAGTCATCAGGAAACAGCTTTATGACATAAGTGACAATGACTGGCACAGAGTTTGGTGGTGATCGGGAAATCGACAAATGGGTCATTGTTTTTCTAGAAAAAATAGTCTCTACAATAGGCATTGTCTTTTTGAAACTAAACAAAACAAATCACAGCATAGAAACTAAGTTACCTATGGCTAAGAAATAACATCCTAAAGCCCACTGACGGCTTTAAAAACAATACAGATTCGGATTAATAACCAAAGAACAGATTAAAACTAAACATCATTACTTACCAGTCTAATAAGAAAAATCCCAAGAAGAATTACGAAATGGATCCAAGACTTAAAATATGGAAGTTACGAGGTAAGTAAAGACGATCAGGCTGGCTGATAGCAAGAAAAGAAATGAGATATAAGGTTATAAAAGGATATAAAAGAATGGATAAAGACGTGTTTCAATTCCTTTAGAGACAAGAAGCAACAATTGTAAATTTAAAACAAAAAGATGCCTTAGAGATAATGGGATTTTTTTTCTTTATAGAGTGCAGGAAGACTGGGATAAATTGGAAAATGACGTAGTAAGTACTACAGGTATCAGGAATTTTTAAAACAATTTTTAATGAGCTTTTTAATGAAGAGGGAATACCAAGAGCATAGCTCTGCCTCTGTAACTACAAATAGGTCATTATATAGAGGTAATTACCACCACCACTACTACCCGTAGTGTTATCTAACCACCACCATCACCATTGTCAGTAGTCTTGCCCAAA